TCTTCGGATACTTCTTTATCCTTGTATTCACCAAAATCCCAAGTAACTCCTTTCTCAATAAAGAAATACTATTATAGCATGATTTCAGGTAAAAAAAAAAAAAAAAAATTACAAAAGAAAACTCGATTATTGTTTATGTCAAATTTGTAGACTTGAAAGAAATAGTTTAACTATAGTATATTTATCGTACTGCTACTTATATACTTAATATTTGACTAATGTAATAATGGTGACATGATGACATGATTGTGGGTTATAAAAAAATTTTTATTTAATTTTCACATGATCATATCGGACAACGATTGGATATTTCCTAACGCAGCGGCTGGCTTTAGCGAAACAAAAGTGGCATGATATTTTGTTGCTCCTTATGCCAAATTCGAGAAATTTTGTCGCTTTCATATAACCTTAAACTGCGCTAACCACGATTAGGATACACTGATATAATGGAAATGTCTGTTCCTCATGGATCAAAGAGAAGTTCCTCCTTCGTTTCAGATTCTCCCGCCAATTTACTGGAGGAACATACATTTTCAAGCAATCTTGATGATTATGACATAAATAAAAACAATCCTATAGGTATGAAATCAGCGAATCCAAATTGAAAAGTCTTTTTTTTTTTATAATGGGAACAAATGAGCTCGGAGTTCATATACACTATTACCTTTCTTGATTGTGGAAAACTTGTATAATTTTACTGATATTCGTGCATGATAATGCATTGTAGCGCGTTGTGTCAATGAACTCTTTACGGAAGAATTAATATCTGATCTTTGCCTCATTTTTTTTAAATCAAGGTTACGGTGCCTCCGCAATTGTGTATGGAGCTATATATAGACCTCTTAATAAAACAGTAGCAGTTAAAATGATTGATTTGGATTATTTCGAAAGAGATCAAATTGACGAAGTGAGGGTATTGTATAGATGTGTTAGACATAATTTACATGTCCCTGTTCATATTTAACGCTTTATAGTTAACCCTCACGAAATAAGCATTTTTCACATAAATTAGAGAGAAACTCAACTGATGTCTTTGTCCAAGCATCCTAATATCCTACGCGTTTATTGTTCTTTTGTGAACGAATCAAAGTTATTCATTGTTACTCCTTACATGTCGGCTGGTATGTCCGCTTAGTTAAATTATAAAAATATCATATGGATTGCCATTGTTCCAACATCATGTGAACACGTTGAAAGATATCCACCAAATTATCAGGTTCTTGTTCGGATATTATGAAAACCGCTTACCCTGACGGCTTTGAGGAGACGGTAATAGCCACCATACTGAAGCAGGCTCTTCAAGGTTTAGATTATTTGCATAAACATGGCCAAATTCATAGGTAAAATGATGACCAGAAGCTGTGAATTATCTTATACCTTGCATTTATATCACCGTCCCGATTTTAGTTTCCTTATCTTATATTATATTAGTGAGAAAATCATCTAATACACTTTATTCGTTAATTGAAAAGGGATGTTAAAGCCGGGAACTTACTTGTGGATGAAGATGGCACTGTTTTGTTAGCAGATTTTGGTGTATCTTCGTCTCTAATTGAGGGTGGTGATAAAAAGTCTCGAAAAACTTTTGTGGGAACGGTAAACATTGAATTTGTTGTTACCAGTAGTAAAAACGAATTTTAGTACTCATGCTTCATTTTAGCCATGTTGGATGGCACCAGAAGTGATGGAAGGCGCAGAATATGATTATAAAGCGGATATTTGGTCATTTGGAATAACTTCCCTGGAGTTGGCGACTGGGCATGCGCCTTTTGCAAAATATCCCCCACTTAAGGTACTTTAAAATTACAGCTCTTTCATGACTTAGATTGGATAAAAAAAAAAAAAAAAAAAAAATTTTTTTCTCCTGTAATTATAGGTAATTATGGTCACCATCCAAAATGAGCCACCAACGTTGGACCGAGATGCAACAAAACATAAATATGCAAGCTCGTTCAAAGAAATGATCGATAAATGCTTGCAAAAAGATCCGACGAAGCGGTACGTATGTTTGTAATTGACAAACCCTTTGTGCGGATAATTGCTATTAATAATTTATATTTCGCAGGCCAACCACCGAAAAATTGTTGGCGCATGCATTTTTTAAACAAGCTAGAAAAAAGGATTATCTAGTGACAAGGATATTGCAATCTTTAGTACCATTAGAAGAAAGGTCGCACAAAAGTATGGACATGATATATTGAGCATCAAGCATTTACGTTAATTAAAATGGAAGAATGACATTATAAATTCGGACTTTCAGGGGTTCAACAGAAACCTATTGTTATTGAGAAAGGAGTTACTTGGGATTTTGGTGAATACAAGGATAAAGAAGTATCCGAAGAGCCTTCCTCTGATCAGGAAAAACGAGTAGCCTTTTCCGAAGTTGAACTTCCTGTCGCAAAAGAGGAGCAAACTAAAAAGTCACGATTCTCAATTAATCAGGGTAGCAGTGCGGAAACAGATGTAACTGCCTTACAACTCACGACTCATGTGACACAAAATCAGTTATCACAACTCCAATCACCTTCATCAGAAGCTGGCACCAATGGGTTGACCCAGCAAGATGTTGTTAATGAAGAACAAGTGCAACAGCGCATGCAAAAGAAGGGCAGATTCTTTATCAAGGATAATGCTACGGCGCAAGTAGAGGCGGAAAGTCAACATCAGAATTTGCTGAGAGATCAATCAAGCGAAAATCTACATATACCAGGTGACACTTAATATGATGGTACTTGCACTGCACTGACAGTCATTTATTTTTTAAACTTTATTAAGAAATCTAATAACGATCTATTAATATAAAAAAAACCCCCTTAGATTACAATAGAAAGGGCAGATTTCACGTTGATGCTGGCGCTGCATCTAATCAGAATGTGTCTAAAAATATTTCTATTCCGAAGAGAAAGTTCTTTATTGATGTAGAACCGAGGACAGATGGATTTCCGCCAGGTAGAATCCACCACAATTAATCTATAATTTGAAATTTTCCTTTTTAATGTTATAGAACAATTTTTATTTGACCAAACGATTATTTCTCTTGTCGTCTCTTCGCCACTCTTTTTAAATAAATTCAGAGGCAATGCAATCCCCTGCAGTGAGTCACTCAACCAATTCTTCTCCAACTACATCTATTATGCAAGACCAAGATTCAATGAACACTCAGATAATGAAGTTGATTCAACAAAATGAGACGCAGCGAGTTCTGTTGAGTGATATCAAGACGTTCTTACAATCTCAGCAAGATCATAATCACCAAGCACAGAATGGAAATGTCGCAGTAGCTAAAGATTTGGTATTTGAATGTATTACCTATTATTTTGATCGAGTTCGTAGACAATTTGTTAATTCCCTGATTATGTTAGAATGATATGGTACGTGAAAACGACGAACTTCGAAAACAAAATGAAGAACTAAGAAGAAAGGTCGATCGTTTAGAGAAAACTCTACGGGATCTGAATCTTCCGACCGATAACGATGGTTCTGAAAATGTCAAAGTTCCGGACGGATTCTCTGATATTACAAATAACGCTTCAAATGCCCTTTAGTAAAATTGATGGAGCGAATTTCAATTGGATGTTTGTTATTCTTAGGTTTCTTTTGTTTTAACGATCAATTTTATAGGTACCCTGTTATAAACACCCGATTACTTACTCAATTTGTTCGAATTGTGATAATTTCGAGTGATTTGGTAGATCATTCATTATTCTATTATTTTTGGAAAATGTTATTTATTATTTTACTATTATTTTATTATTGCTAATAAGTTAGACATTGTAATTTTATTATTTTTCAGTTCAACGGAGGGAAGAATTGAGTAGCATGAGCCTGCAAAATATAAATTCATTCAACCTTAAATAATCTTGAAGGGTCAACTTTCATGTTTCTTCCTATTCCGTGAGAAATCTTAAAGATTTCTCATTCAAACAGTTGTTGAATATATGAAGTACTGTATATCTGAAAATGCTTTTCGTTGGTGAATAAAGAGAATGATTTGCAAATGAAGACAGCCATAAGTTGAAACTCATTAAAATTAACATTTAATATCATTTAATCATTTAGTATAATTTACTGTTATACAGTATATGAAAAAAAATAATAATTTTAATGCTAAAGATTCTTCCTAATCTTAGACCGAACATTTCATAATTCAAGAAATCCATCGTTATAATACCAATCTCCAAGTAAGAAATATAGCGCCAAACCATATCAAATTTTTAAGGGCAAACATACTTTGCTAGTAAGATTCAATTCAATATATTATAGAAATCTAAAAAATTAAAAGAAAGATTATTCATAAAGAGCGTATTGAATTAATATTTTTTTTTTTTAGCATTACTTATAAATATTAAAAAAAAAAATTTTTTTTTTTAATAACAGATGAACAAATTTTATTGAAGTTGTTTTACTTATTTAAAAATATTGCCAATCTATAAAATGATTTGCCTTTAAAAATTTTATACTAACTTATTTTTTTCAAGAAACGAAGAATCCGAATATCAAGGTTTTCTTGTTATTTATTTTAAATTTAATTAAAATAAAAATTTTATGTTTCATCTAATTTAAATAAATAATCGAAATATAACTTGAAAAAAATACTTTACAATTTTTAAGAAAGATCAGATAATATATTAATATATCAAGAATGACTAAAAATTTTTCAATATATTATATTTAATTGTATCCTTTCAAATATAAAAATAATAATTAAAGAAAAAAAATTTTTTTTAAAGTATTAATTTATAACTCTTAAATAGTGATATATTTTGACTTAAATAGTTATACTAATAACTATTAATAATTAACAATTAATGATTTTTCATATTATTTAATATATTATTTTTTCAATTGATATAAATAATATTTGTTTTTTAATTTTAGAAATAAATTTTTTTAAAAAGTTGATGGAATCAATCAAGAAGAAACCATCTCATCATTAATGTGGAGAATCTTTTATGATCTTTTATTATGCAAAATTCAAAATAATACAAATAAAGAATATAAAATGTTAATTACTTGAAATCCGGACTTTAATGATTATAAAATTAAAAAGTTAGAATCAAAACATGCCATGATAGCCTTTATGGATAATATAACATGAATAGCAAGATTCAAGGAAGACATAAAAAAGATCTTGAAAATAGCAAGAATCTTTTATAGGATCAATGACTCCCAAATCAATAATAACAAATTAGTTCTAATTACTATTGTAATAAAAATAACCTTTAATGCTATTGGATAGTTATTTTTAGTCCTGATCTTCATTCTATTTCTATTTTTATCTATTTATTTATAATTATTTCTTTGTATTCTTTAATATTATTATTAATACTTATTTAGCATAGATCACTTTATCAAATATAGCATGTAACATAATTTATCATAGATTAAGTAGTTTAGGAGGCCTAAGAGGCTCAAGTAACCTGAGTGATCCATTTTTACAAGTATATAAGCAGTCATAATTCACTCAAAAGTTGGATAAGTTGGGGTATAACTTTATTTGACTTTGAAAGTTTACAAATAACTTCATTTTGATTCCTTGAAAATTAGATATCTTCTTTTGATTTTAGGACTAAAGGGATTGTCCTAGTTTTCTTGATTTACAGTATTAATAAACTTGAATTTTAAGCGAACCATATTTGTTATAAGACACTGTGTAACACTGTTTAAATATTTTTGGTAAATCTATTCTTGAATACTTTTTTAATTATTCCAAATCACTTCTTTAATTCTTTTTTTGGGAATTTGTTCTTTTAAAGCAATTTCACTTGGACATACTGGTTAAATATAAATTTGATCATATTTTGATGACAATAATAGAACCCTGCTCTCCAAAAAGAATATCTGACAGGATCTTACTCTTCAAAAATGTTATTTGGAATAGGATTAATCTTTCTTTGAATGAATAACAACTTTGATAATTGGATTCTAAAACCATTGCTGGATTTTATAATTACTTATCCTGAATACTCTCTTGAAATTCTATTTTCTTCTTCTCTAATTCACTCTTTGAATACTTTTAATTACAATCAATACAGTGCAATTTATTCTTTCACATTATCTTATAATTTAGCAATAGATAATATTTTTCAAGACCCTTGGAATTAAGCAAACCATTTTTACAACTTAAATCAATCTTGAAATAGGTATTCCCCACAAGGCCAGGATGATGATAAGAAAAGTAATAGGTAGGAAGAGCACAATAAAAACCATCAGAACAATATGAAAAATAAATAACAACCACTATCATAAAGAAATAGATCAGGCCAAAGGCAAAGGAATGAGCAAAGGAAAAAGCAACAAAATTAATTTATCTATAATTATAGGCAAAATAATAATCAAAATTTTATCAATCTACTGTGACAACTCTCTGAATCAATTGCTGGAATGAATGCACCAAGGAACAACAACTAAAGGAAAACAAAACTGGTGGATATATCAATCTTCAAAGGAGAAAACAAGATTCTCTTACTTGGTTAATGAATTTGATAAAGGATGCAAAGCAAATTGCATCAATGAATAGCATAAATTTAAAATACTTCTCTCTTACCTCAAAGAAATTGCACACACTTGGTGGTCTTCTATAGATGATCAAATTAATTATTGGGACAATGCAGTACATCCAGTTAAATCTTTTGTACATCAATTACATACAATTTGATATACTATTTATTACAAATCAAGATGTATAAATCAATTAAGACAGTAAATACAAAAATAAAGAGAAACTATAGATAAATATTTGAATGCAATAACTCTTCTTTACAATTGTATTGATCCTGACAACAAACTATTCTGTTACAGATAAAACCAGTCAATTCATCAATATATTAAGGGATGAATTGAGGAAACCAGTTGAAATTTCTTGTTCTTTCAATATGGCTGAGGTTATCAACTATACTTATGCTGCTGAATCAGCCTACTTCAGGAATTCTATTTTGAGTGCCTATTATTTGAGATGCAATTACTTAAGCAAAGATGCTAATAAACTCAAGGACATTAAAACAGCAATTACCCAGTTTTCTCAAGGATTTCAACAATTGACCACTTCAACTAATAATAGGTATAATGACAACAATATCAATAGTAATAATAGAAGAGGAAATCAAAGGGAAACTCATATCTGCCATAATTGCAAAAAAGTTGAACACTTGCAATATGACTGTAGATCATGTCACAACAACAATAATAGCAACAATAGGAACAATAACAATAATTATAGAAGATCTTATAACAACAACAATAATAATACCCTGCCGGTCATAAGTAATCAACCCGGCATATATTTTTTTTTTATTTAATAATGTCCCCCCAAAATTTCAGAGATTTAAGAGTAACACGAATCCTGATCACTCGTATATTTTCGGGTTTGTGTGACTTCTAATTCTAGCGTTAGATAATCGATGAATATTACACTAAAATTATGGCTCTTCCTCTTCATAAGTGATACGAAATTGTGTTTTTATACGAACACCCGAAGATACAAAATCTGAGTTTTTCAGAAATAGCAGCTTATATTGGCTGCTCTAAGTCTACAGTTATTTACTGGGTTCAAAGATGGCGGATTTTGAAAGATCTGTCTGATAAGTAAAAGGCCGGCCGGACGCGCAGTACGACAACGAAACAAAATGAGCGAATTGTTAAGATGGTGAAGACAAATCACAATATAACGAGTTCTGAAATACAAGGAATTATGGAGAAAAATAGTGTAAGTATTAGTGCAAGAACTATTAGACGACGTATTAGTGAAGCTGGGGGCAAGTATGCAAACGAAATTTCGAAACCTCTTCTTACTGATAATCACCGAGATCGACAGTTCTAGTGGGCAAAGAAACATAAAAATTTTGATTGGAATTTAGTTATTTTTTCAGACAAGAGTACCTTTCAACTATTCCCATCACGAAAAAAAGTTTGGCAGTTCAAAGGGAAAAAAAAAATATGCCGTACTATCAAGTACTCATCAAAGGTTCATGTGTGGGGGTGTTTTTCGGCTTTGAGGTTTAGGAGGTTAGTATGCTTCCAGCAGAATCTTAATTCGAATTTTATGGTTAAAATATATAAAAGGGGCCTCTTATCTTTCTTTGTCGAATTTTTTGGTGCAGGTAACTTAGAATGGTTCCTACAAGAAGATAATGATCCAAAGCACCGGTCGAAAATCACGAAAAATTGGAAGGAGAAAGAGGGAATTAAGGTACTTCCATGATCATCAATGTCGCCCGACCAAAACCCTATAGAAAATGTGTGGCGAATAATGAAATTAAATATTTCAAAAAAAAAAATTTGGTCAATAGGATGGTTAAAAATGTTAATTAGAAAAGAATGAAAACAATTCTCACCTGAATTTGCTGCTAAATTGTCAAGCATCATGCATCGTAATGTAGATGCTTTAATAGAATCTGAGGGGGACTATACGATATATTGAGAATTAGCATTAGTGATGAAGTTTTTTTAAAAAAAAATTTTTTTTTAATTGACTTACCAGTTTAGAAAATAAAAGGGGTCGGTTACTTATGTCCAGCAGTGTAATAATAGAAATCAGTTCAACAAC